AGAGAGAGAGAGAGAGAGAGAGAGAGAGAGATCAGCACAGAATGTCAACATGGCTCCTTTGCTCCAAATAAAAAGATTTCTACAATAAGTTCAAACCCTGATTTTGTCTGATCACAACTTGTCATGATAGGAAGAGAGAGGTGATAAAAATGATTAAACAGAAGCCACCATCCAAAGTGGCATAACCTGCTGAGGATACATGGCAGAACAACTTCCTGTTCTCTCCAACAAGGCCCAACTTCCCCACCAGGCAGCCACCATAGTAGGGGTCACAGTCCTTCCACCTGCCACGTGAAAGCAGGCAAGGCAGATGGGTGGATGCTTGGGGAAGGGAAGCTGAACTAGTGGAGGCATTACTATAAAAAGGACACGAGAGCAAGTCTAGAGAACACCTCCCACCCCCTCCCAAACAAATCTCCCTGCTTAACTCCAGCTATCGAAAGGAAAACAAGTGTTTGGGGGGAGAGGGGGGAGAGGGTGGAATATAAAGCAAACTAACACGTTCTCATATAAACTGTACATGTGCCAAAGCAAGACAACAGTATCTTACAAGATGTTCTTTGTACAACATCACTGCTAGAAACAAGCAACTTTTAATAACTAGAAAATGAATTTAAAAAGTTACACAGAACAAGTTCCTGCTGCTCACCCTCTTCCCACCATAGCTTTTCTATGGGACGTGTGGAATAAACTGCTCTCTGATACATCTGTGGTATTTGGGTCACCCACTCAAAAGAGCTACATAATTATGTGCTGTTAAAAGGTGGAAAAGGAAACCCACCGTCTTTCCTTTACCACATCCACGTGGGAGCCCCATGCTCAGAAGAAAGGACAAGCCTTTCAGAGCATGACCTCAGGAGACCACTCCCGAGAAGAGACAGAGAAAAGCAAGAGCACCTTGAAGCCAATTTGTATTATGCTGGTGAAAGCCATATTTCCATAAATGTAAGTACTTGCTTGCTCTACACAGCCCTTCATTGGGGGCTCAGAATTAACACCATATAAATATATACATACAAGAACTAACAGCCCATTGGCCTGATCACGCCCAGTCCTTCTGTGAAGCAATATGATCCCTCCCCATGCTAGATCAAGGCTGGTTTCACATCACAGGCAGCAGATGGCAGGAGGTCCCACAGTGCTCCAGCGTTGGCTGCTCAGCTGAA